TTTAATAGCATGTTGTTTAGTCTCCATGTGTTTGATTTCTTTGGATTGTTTTTATTGTAGTTAATTTCCAGTTTTATGCCGTTATGATCTGAGAAGATGCTTGATATGATTTCTATCTTCTTGAATTTGAAGAGACTTTGCCTATGTCCCACAATGTGGTCTATCTTTGAGAATGTCCCATGTGCACTTGAGAAGAATGTATATTCTGTGGCTTTGGGGTGAAATGTTCTGAAGATATCAATTAATTCCATCTGGTCTAGTGAGTTGTTTAGGATTGATATTTCTTTGCTGATTTTTTGTTTAGATGATTTGTCGAAGGGTGACAGTGGGGTATTAAAATCTCCTACTATGATTGTATTGCTATTAATCTCTCCCTTAATGTCCTCCAGCAGTTTTTTTATTTTATTTATTTGGGTGCTCCTGTATTGGGTGCATATATATTTACCAGGGTTATTTCTTCTTGTTGGATTGTTCCCTTTAGTATTATGAAGTGGCCTTCATTATCTCTTGTTATGTCCTTCACTCTGAGATCTAATTTGTCAGATATAAGTAATGCTACCCCAGCGTTTTTTTCATTTCCATTTGCCTGGAAAACTTTTTTCCATCCCTTCACCCTCAGTCTGTGTGCATCTTTTTTTCTGAGGTGGGTTTCTTGTAGACAACAGATGTATGGGTCTTGTTTTCTTATCCAGTCTGACACCCTATGTCTTTTGATTGGAGCATTTAATTCAGTTACATTTAAGGTTATTATTGACAGGTACTCATTTGACGCCATTTTTATTCTATACCCCTGTGTTCCTTCTTCACTTCCTATTTCTTTATTTTTACAGTAGACCCTTTAGCATTTCTTGCATTGCTGGTTTGGTGGAGATAAATTCCTTCAGTCTTTTTTTTTGTCTGTGAAGCTCCTGATTTCCCCTTCAGTTTTGATTGATAGCCTTGCTGGGTACAGTATTCTTGGATTCAAACCCTTCCTTTGCATGACTTTGTATATTTCATCCCATTCCCTTCTGGCCTGATATGTTTCTGTTGAGAAATCAGTTGCTAGTCTGATGGGGGTTCCTTTGTATGTAACTTTCTGTCTCTCTCTAGCTGCTTTTAAGATTCTTACTTTGTCGTTGTTGTTTGCCACTTTAATTATAATGTTCCTTGGCGTCTGTCTTCTGGGATTCATTTTGCTTGGGACTCTGCGAGCATCTTGGATTTGTGTGGGTTTTTTCTTCTCTATCTCAGGAAAGTTTTCTGTCATTATTTCTTGAAATACTTTTTCCATGTCTACCTCAGTTTTCTTTCCTTCTGGAACCCCTATTATTCAAATATTATTTTGTTTTGTATTGTCCCAAAGCTCCCGTAGGCTCTCCTCCTGCTTTTCAATCTTTTTTTCTAGGAGCTGCTCTAATTGGGTATTTTTTTCCATCTTGTCTTCTAGCTCACTGATGCGGTCCTCTGCTTCATCTAGTCTACTCTTGATGCTTTCTATTGAGTTCCTCATGGTAGCGATGTCATTTTTCATTTCTTCTTGGTTCTTCTTCAATTCCTCATGGCTCTTCTTCACTTCCTCATGGTTCTTCCTCATTTCTTCTTGGTTATTGTCAAATTTCTCTTCCATTCTTTTTAGCCATCCTATGATCATTATTCTGAACTCTTGCTCTGGTAGGCTGCTTGCCTCTGACTCGTTTACTTCCTTTTCTGGTGATGCCTGCTTTTCTTTCATGTGCGGGGTATTTTTTTGTCTTCCCACGGTATCTCTTTTCAGGATTTCTGGTTATGTGGTGTTCCTTCTCTTGCGTTGATTTAAAGGTGCAAAATATAACACTTTTCGTGGGTAGCTGGTGAACTCCCTTGAATCCACGCGTTTGTGCCGATTGGGGCATCAAACGTGCTCGATGGACTCCTCCGCTGTGGGTTTTCCAGGCCTCAGAAAAGCTCCTCCTTTCCTGGTAGGGTGGTGCAGCCTTTCCGCCAAGCTCGGAGCTCCAGGAGAAGTCGGCAGTGCTGGCCACTTGGTCAGGAAATCCTGTCTAGCAGACCCTTCCTTACTTTCCTAGAGATATCCGCTGCCCCTTAGCTGCTAATCAACATTCCCTGAGCGACTCAGACTCTGCCTTTATCTGTTTTGGGACCGGGGTCAGAACAAGTCCATCTGTTCGGTCGACATCTTCAAGCTCCGCCCCCCCAGTCTGGGTTCCTTTTGTTTGGGGTTCTGTGCACTTCCTGGACTTATAAGTCTATTTCTTTCACCATTTGGGAGAAGTTTTCATTCATTATTTCTTCAAATAGGTTTTCAGTATCTTTCATTCTTCTAGTCTGCTGTTGGGTTTTTGTATATTATTTTTATTTCAATATTCTGATATTTATTATTTTTATAAATATTCTAGGGGAGCTATGGGGGAAGGAAAGGAGAAACAATTATAATTTTATATTTAATTTCTAATTGGTTCTTTTTCATATCCTCAAGGGTCTCACTAAATTTATTGTCCTTTTCTAGGAAATGTCTGAAAAACCTTATAACCATGGATTTGATTTTATATCCGGTCATTTGTTCTCCTCCATTTCTTTCATTTGTGGTCTGTTTCTTTCTCTCTTCATGTTCGCTGCTTCCCTGAGTTGGTAGGGTAGCTTTGTGTGCTAGGTTTCCTATATGGCCCAGTGGGTCAGCATACCTAGGCACCCTTGGTGCTCCCCTTTGTGTACTGTGTGTACAGCCTTTTTGTAGTTAAGTCTTGATTGTTGTTTGTATCACTGGGAGGAATTGACCTCTCGGCCAATTGGCTGTGAGTATCAGCTATGTCTATGCCGGGAGACCTTCTGTATTGCAGACAGTCTTAAGGGCCAGACTTGCAAAATTGAAAAAGCCTCTGTGCACAGCAAGGATGGGGTGGAGTCTCAGAGCTGAGCAGACAGTCTTGTCTTCCTGTCAGCCCTGCCTTTGCAAACACGCCTCCAGACCCCTGCCATCCGCGGCTCCCCTGAGTTTCTGCCTGACAGTCCAGATTCCCCCTGTAAGAGTGTCATCCCCCAGGAGCTCGCCCTTAACTGGATTTCAGTGCAGTCAGAACTAGGATTCAGTGCAGTCAGGAGCTTCTGACTCACTTCCACTATGGAAAGCCTGTGGCAGTCTCTGTAGTCAGAGCTCTCTGAATCTCACTCACTTGCGCATGCACCTCCAGACCCCTGCCCACCACAGCTCCCCTGAGTCTCTAAGTCTCTGAGTCTCTGTGTGCCTTTCTCTACAGTCCATACAGGTGTCCCTCCCTGTGCTCTTTCTCTCTCTCTTTCTTCCTCTCTCTCTCTCTCTCTCTCTCTCTCTCTCTCTCTCTCTCTCTCTCTCTCTCTCGTCTCTCTTTCTCTCTCCCCCCCCCCACACAAACACACACTCCTTTTCATATCCCCAGCTGTGTAATTTTTGTTTTTCTAGAAACTGATCCTCATATCCTCTTGGTTTTTCAAGACTTTTGAGATGTATAACTATAAAACAGGAAGCTCAAGCAAAATCTATTTACTTCAAACTATTAATCTATGCAGACTTTATGATAAATTAATGGAAAAGCTGTGTTGTTATTTAGAATTCAGTGCTTTCTTCTGAGATTTATGAGACCATTGACCAAGATTTACTAATCTTATCTAATAAAAGAGTAATATGCAAATTGACCATCACTCCAACACACATTATGGCTGCCCCCATTTGGTCAACGATGGCTGCCCTCATGTGGATAAAAGATGGCCACCACAAGATGTCCTGCAGGGGAGGGCAGTTGTGGGCGATCAGGCCAGCAGGTAAGGGCAGTTGGGGGGACCAGGCCTGCCAGGGAGGGCAGTTAGGGGCAACCAGGCTGGCAGGAGAGTGGTTACGGGCAATTAGGCAGGCAGGTAGGCAAGCAGTTGGGAGCCAGCAGTCCTGGATTGTGAGAGGGCAGTCGGAATCCCTCAAAAGGTCCCAGATTGGAGAGGGTGCAGGCTGGGCTGAGCAACACACACAACCCCCACTGTGCATGAATTTCATGCACTGGTCCTCTAGCTATAAATATAAATGTATAGGCCTTTAAAGTATGGATGTAAAATTGATATTAACTTCATCTTGACATATTGTCCTTAATATCCTTTAACTTTGAAGAAGACATCTTTTAGAAAGTACATCTATTAAGAAAAAAATTCCAGCCATAACTGGTTTGGCTCAGTGGATAGAGCATTGGTCTGTGGACTGAAAGATCCCAGGTTTGATTCTGCTCAAGGGCATGTACATTGGTTGTGGGCACAGCCCCAGAAGGGGGTGTGCAGGAGGCAGCTGGTCGATGTTTCTCTTTCTTGGTCCCTCTTTCTCTCCCTTCCTCTCTGTAAAAAATCAATAATTATATATATATATATATATATATATATATATATATATATATATATATTCCAGATGAAAATAAGGCAACAGCATGGCTGCATGCCTTTCAATTACATTGGGAAATTGTCTACAAAGCCCACCTTAGGACTGCTTTCATCTGGGGGTGGGGGAGAATGAACTTTTGATTGATGCTCTGTGTATTATTGATCAGGCTGCAAACTTTGTACACTTACATGTTAACTTGTACATTTTTGTTCATCACAGATGCAAATGTGTGTGTGTGTTTTCAGTAGAACAGTGGTTTCCAACCTTTCTAATGCCGAGACACTTTAATACAGTCACTCATATTGTGGTGACCCCCAACCATGTAATTATTTTCTATGCTACCTTATAATTGTAATTTTGCTATTGTTAATAAATCGTAATGTAAATATCTGTGTTTTCCGATGGTTTTAGATTCTACAGTAGGGACCCACAGGTTGAGAACCTCTAGTAAGGACACCTAAGACCATCAGAAAACACAAACATTTACATCTACTGGTGGATTCATACCAGTAGCAAAATTACAGTTAGGAAGTAGCAACAAAAATAATTTTATGATTGGGGGTCACCACCACATGAGGAACTGTATTAAAGGGTCATGACATTAGAAAGGTTGAGAACCACTGCAGTAGAAAACATAATTGCAAATGTTAGTTATATTCTGATATTAAATACTACTTTACTTTTCTCTAAGTTAACCAAATTTCAGAATGCCTCCCCCAACTAACTGTATATATCTTTTTCCTTCAAATGATAAAAGAATCAGTTTAATCATTCCCTTGTTAATAGGTTAAGTACATCTTTGACATAGATACAAAAAGTCAAATTTGAATGAGTCATGTTTTTTACATATTTATTATTTTTCAAATTCTTACTTGCTATTTTTTCACATTGACAGTAGAAAGAAGGTGGGGAGGGAAGAGAGATGAGAGATGAGAGATGAGAGATGAGAGAGAGAGAGAGAGAGAGAGAGAGAGAGAGAGAGAGAGAGAGAGAGAGAGAGAGAGAGAGAGAGAATTAACTCATTGCCTCCCATATGTGCCCAATGAGGGTCAGGATCAAACCTGCAACCCAGATACCTGCTCAACTGGAAGTTAAAGGACACTTCAGTATGAGGGCTTGCATTCTACCATTGAGCAACACTAGCCAAGGCTGAATAAGTCTTGTTTTTAACTTCTTAAAAATGATACTCTGATGTCTCTTTTGAAAAAATACAAAAAACAAGAAACAAAAAAAACCCCACCACAAATCTAAAGCTTAGCAATTCCTGAATTGCTTTTTCCTCTCAAAGTTAAACACAAGTTAAATTGGATATGTTTAATGAATGCATTAATTAAAAGCTTTTATAATCAGAACAGAACAGTAATTGTTGCTTTTGAAAAAATAATTCAGGCCAAAAAGCTTTGAGGAGGTGAGGTAAGAGAGACTAGAGATAAATGGCTGGGACCTAGTATCCCTTCTTATCAGTCAACAATTTGCTCATTATATCCAATGACTGCTGCTCAGATTCTCCACAGAGTCCTGCTTCAGGTTCATTATACAATCCTGAACTTCCGCATTATTGGGGTTGGCACAGACCTGCCTCCCCCTTTTGGTGATGAAACTGGGGAATAAAGGGGAGAAAGATTACACATTGACAAGGGTTCTGCAAATAAAGATGGGGAGCCCCATCCTCCCGGCCCTTCAGATTCTCTATTCAGCCCAGCTTGTTCCTTTCTCTGCTGCAGGAACTCAGGGTGTCTCCTCTCTGAGAAGCTCCCTCAGCTGGTGGGACTTCCTCAGTGACTCATGGGAATTTCCTGGTGCAGACCTGCTCCTGCTCTCTCCTTCCTTTCCTAGCTTCTATATTCAATGGGAATGTCTCATATCTGATGCTCTGCAGGATGAAAATGAGGACACAAGCCTCCCTTGATCTTGAAGGAGCCAGAGGATGTGACTTTTATGGGCATCCATCCATCATCAGGGTTCTCCTCCCAAGATATGGCTGGTATGCTTGGCACTTACATGACACCAGGCTGGGCGCACCGACTGGTCGTTTCAAAGTAACTTTCCATGTTACCGCATCGGATTTTTTGTGAGGTATAGGACCGGCAGCAGTTAGAAGGTCGGCGATGGTCTGTAGTAAGAGAATAGGCAGTTTAAGGACTATTTCCTTCCCTCCAAAGTACGGGGGAGAGTGAGAAGGCACAGGGCTCAAAGGGCTTGTTTTCCTCCTCTACAGCATTTGCTGGCATCTCCTTGCTTCACATTTCCCCAGGTGGAGTTGTGTCTGAGGGCACCTAGGCCAAGGACACAACAGGGCCAGGACCATTTCTCCCAGAAGTGGAGGGTTTGCTGCCTGAAGGAGGCATCAGAGAGCACCCTCTCCCCTAGATGAGGTTTCTCCAGGACAGGCAGAAGGAAGAGAGGTCATCTATGGAGGAGGGACCCATGGCCCAATCTGATCTTCCCTGTAGGTGTTCGCCATCTTCAGCACCCTTCCCCTCTCCCCATGTCCTCTAAACAGGGTAAATGGAGCCACTGAGCAGGTCTGTGCCTTCCAGCTGATTTTAAATATATGCCACAACTAAACATTGACCCTTTAAAAAAAACAAACAAAAACATGTGTTATCATTGATTTTTTTTTTTTAGAAGGATAGGAAGGAAGAGGGATTGAGAAATAACAACATCAATGAGAAAAAGGCTGCACAGCTCTTACTGGGGATTGAGTCTGCAACCTGTGCATGTGCCCAGACCCAGAATGAACCTGTGACCTATTGGTTCCTGGGTTCAATACTCAACTGCTGAGTTACACTGGCCAGGCTCATTTACCTTGAGAAGGCCTTATGGGATTCAACTGATGCATGCCCATTCTAGGTTCTATTTGGGAGAAACAGACAAGAATGAAGGAAATCACTGGGAGGCAACAGTGTTTCAGTTTCTCTACTTATCCCATTTCTCAGCCTAACCCCCTACCCCAGAATGGGAATGTGAGGGCAGATGTTCCAACCAGTGAGAAAATCATCCAGGGCTGTATTACCTTTGTAAAACCTGAAAGATTCTGCATTCCAAAAGTCATCTAGACCAGTGGTTCTCAACCTTTTTTTTTTGGCCATGCCACACCTAAGCATCTCTAAAATCCTGATGACCCCATGGGACATATAATTCTTATCATTCAAAAAGCAAACTTCTATTCAAATGGAGGAATCCTAAAAGGCCATTAACTTGTCTAAACAAGCTTCCAGGGAACATGGTATCCATGAAAGAAAAAAATAAAAGAACAAAAGGACAGTTGAAGTACTGAGGAAGAAATCACTAAAAAATTGTTTAAAAAATAATATGAAGTGATATGAAAAAATAGAAAATAAGATTTCAAAACATAATAGAGTACTGAAATGCATAAATATGTCACATATAAATTTATGTATGGTATATGAGGTCCTTAGACCATAAGAAATGCAAAAAAAAATCACTGTTAATAACTCATTCTCAAATTGTCCCTCTTAAAAATCAAAAGGCCCCCCTGTGGGGTGTGTCCCATGTTGGGAACCACTGATCTAGACCCAATATTTTGGGTAAGGGACTGTAAACCTGCATTACGCTAATTAGATAAACACAACTAAACTTTTAGCTCATTACTTCATAGTTACCTATGAATTATACTCATGAGGCATATGATATGTTACTTGATATGATGTGTGTGGGGCTTGAAAATAGTCTTAAGTGGCCTTGTTTTTCTGTAACAGCTTCCTGTCTCATATCCTAACGTCTCTACTTATTGTCTGTGTTATCTTGAGCAAGTTATCAAAGGCTTCTGTGCCTTAGTTTTCTCATTTATAAACTGAGAAAAATAACTATTCAAGTTGCTGATAGTTTATTCCACAGGGTTGTTAGGATGATTCAATGAGTTAATATCTATAAGACAATTAGAGCTGTGCCTGCTTGCACATAGACAGTGCTAGATCTTTGTTTTTAAAAAATAAATAGAATGATTAGGTGGTCTTAGGTGGGTCACTTGTCCAGCTTGTCCCATTTCTTCTTCAAAATGATAGTTACACAATACATGGTATATAATAGTTCTAACATAGGGTTCTATGCTTCTTTCTCCAGATTTATAAGTTTAGTATAGTTCTTTTGATCTAAGAGAAAGTATTAAGTAACTCTGGCCATGAAAGGGGAGAGAATTGTTTGCCCAAGTGGGACAAGTCTTCTATATATGGTTTTTCCATGGACCAAAAGCTACAGAAAAAGGTCTATACCTACTGCTACTCCTTGTAAACAAGTGCCAAATTCACCTCTATGTTGCATGTGAGTGTCCCTCTGTGTTTCTTCCCTAACTGCAAGTTACCCCTCAATTGTCCACAGAAAGAAGGCTCATTGAACTCACCAGCCTGGGCAGGGTATCCATGGGCAGGGTATCCATCGGCAGGGTATCCATGGGCAGAGGATCCAAGGGTAGCAGCAAGGAGGAGGATGGAGAGAGCAGCTGCAGGGACCTTCATCTTTCCAGTGTGCAGACAGCTCTGGCCTGAGGATCCTGGGCTCTTTGCTCCCTGATTCTGTGGACCCAGCTCTGCCCTTGTACTTATAAGAGAAGCATCAGGAAGTTACAGGGCAGAAGAATGCTGTGCTTTGGCTATACAATCAGCAACAGGATATTTCTTAGAAAGGGAACAAGCCTGGGAATGCAATAGGAAGTTGAGAAAGCAATGATTTGTGGCTTTTCCAACTAACTGCCCAATGGATATAGGTAAGAGTGTCAAAATTGGTGACAAGGACCTTAGCCAAGACAGGAATCGAAATTGTGTGGGAAGAGCTCTCACATCCTATGTGGATTATGAAATTCCTATAGGAAGAATGGTAACAATTTACTGAGCTCTATGGTTAAACAGCTTCCCTTAACTTCCCCTTCCTCTCTGTAAAAGGAACTACTTTCTTCTTCCTTTCTCTTTGTAAAGGTCATGTATGTATATACTAGAGTTCAATCTTTACTTTTACTCAATGCTTTTTTGCAGAAGGAATACTTAGTTGACTTTTTCTTTACAGTCAACAAGAGTGACCATATTTTATTAAATATCCTTCCTTAGGAGGTTTAATTATTCTTCTAAATCAGAGTTTTTCCCTCAGAAATTAACTATTTTAAAGTGCACAAAGAGCCTATTAACAGGGGTGATCACTAGAAGGAATTCTCTAAACATGGTTGTGGGAGCCCCTTTCACGTCCCCCGTGGTTCAGGGTTCCAGTTCAGGGTTTGGGTGCTGGAGAAGGCCTCACATAAATAAAAAGAGACTATAAAAGCATTAATTTGGGGATATTGGGGGCCAGTGGGAGTCCACCTCTTGTGGGATGTCTACATTGGAGCTCTGGCCTTGCTATCCCTTTTATTGAGACTATGGGGTACACCATAGCCCTTGGGCAGGAAACTCCAATAACAGAAATTTACATAAGATAACAGAGGTGGAGGCTGCTTCAGCTAACAAACAATGTTTCAACTAAAGGGTGAGTGGTTAGAGCAATTAAGGTTGCTGACCAGCCTTCCTGCCTGCCTGCCAATATCCCTCTATTAATGAAACAGTGATTGGTTTCTGGCACCTGGTTGTGTGACTCCTCACATATTATAGAATCTTCACCCTGGCCTCCTCTCTTTGTTTTATGTCCCACATCCAATCCATTAGCAAATGTGTTTGTTTTTCTTTGAAAAATATGTCCAGCATCTTATTATTGCTTACCATCTCCACTCGCTCCACCTGACCCAAGCCACCATTGCCTCTCATTGAGATTCTGTCCTTGCCCCTCTTCAGTTCATTCTGCACATTGCAACCATAGTGAGTTTCTTAAAAAATAAGTTAGATCAATTCAATCCTGTTTGAAACCCTCCAATGGCTTTTTAAAAATTATATACATTTTTATTGATTTCAGAGAGGAAAGGAAAGGGAGAGAGAGTTAGAAACATCAATGATGAGAGAGAATAATTGATTGGCTGCCTCCTGCATGGCTCCCTACCATCACCCCACCCCACTCAGGATTGAGCCTGAAACCCAGGCATGTGTCCTGACAGGAAATGGAATCATGACTTCCTGGTTCATAGGTCAACACTCAACCACTGAACCACGATGGCTGGATCTCCAATGGCTTTTTGATTCTACTCAGTGTAAAGTCCGATTCTTTTAAAAATATATTTTATTGATTTTTTTACAGAGAGGAAGGGAGAGAGATAGAGAGCTAGAAACGTCGATGAGAGAGAAACATCGACCAGCTGCCTCCTGCATACCCCTACTGGGGTTGTGCCCACAACCAATGTACATGCCCTTGATCGGAATCGAACCTGGGACCATTCAGTCCGCAGACCGACGCTCTACCACTGAGCTAAACCGGTTTGGGCTAAAGCCCGATTCTTATACTAAATTACAAGCCCCTGTGTGATCTGATCCCTATTTGCTCTCTATTATAAGCTCCTATGTGATCTGGCCCCTATTGTCTCTCTGTTTCATGTCCTACAAATCCCCCTCACTCATTCTGCTTCAGTTATGCAGGCTGACCCAGATTTCTTTTCCCTCTGCTTGGACCACTCTTCCCTCAAATATCTGTATTACTTTACCCTTAACCTCCTGTAAAGTTATCTTTTCAGTAAGTCTTTCTGGGACCTCTAAATTTATAATCTCCCCCTGCCCAAATTTCTTTATTTTTTCCTGTGTACTTAACAATTGACATACTACACATTTTACTTCTAAATATTTTAATATTTGTATCTTCTAGAACATAAATTCTATGATAGCAGAGATTTTTGCATCTTTATTTACTATGACTTCTCTGGTAACTCGCCCGCATGGTAGGGTCTTCTTAGTCTAGATTCCCATTAAAGCTGAGCATGAGCACTAGATAACTTGGAAAGTATTCCTAGGAGCAGGAGTGAGGGACTCAACCAGTTGTGGTTTGATTCTATTGAGATTTTTGAATGCCTTACCAATGCATCTCAGAATATTTTGCCTGGGGAAAGAAAGGGGGAGCATGTATCTCTTGGTTTTCATCTCTATGGCATTTAGAAAATGTGGCCACTTTGATCCTCTCCCTTCTCATCAAGCAGTGGGATCTATATTCTCTTATTTTGAAACAGAGAGGGCTAGTGACTATTGTTCAGTCATGTGACAGCTGAGGCTAGGTTGGGAAAAGCCATGGAGCTTCAACCTGCATCATTGGAATACTCAGTCACTCTTGGGCTCTGAGCTACCATGTCAGAAGACTGACTAGCTTGAGACTGCAATGATGTGAGGAAGCCCAAATTACATGCAGGTATTCTGACAAACAATTCCACATGAGCATAGCCTTCAGGTCATCCCAGCCTAGGGTCCAGGAAGAGCAGTGAGGAAGCCTCTAGAACTGTAGTATTATTTGATATAAAAATACTGCCCACATGTGGTTAATGAGTAGTTTAAATGGGGCTAGTCTATCTCTTGAAACAAATGAAAAAATAGAAAGCTTCATTAAAGAAATAGAAAGTGAGAAGTTGAAGATATAAAGAAGAACGAAATGGAAATCATAGTACTGGAAAATATAATAACCAAAATAAAAAGTTCAATGGGCATGGACAAAGAAAATAGAAACAGAACAATAGAAATTACCCAATATGAATGACAGAAAATAGACACCCCTCAAAAAAAATGACCAGATATATGATTTGTAAATTTCCCTTATTCCACTAATTTCTTGTCACTCTGTTGACTGTTCCCTTTGATGTAGAAAAGTTTTAAGTTTGATGTAGTCTCACGTGTTTATTTAGCTTCAGTTGTCTGTGCTCTTCGTGCATGTCTATTTTTACTTCTTAAAACTTAATGTGAATCTACAATTAATTCAAAATAAAAAATATACTTAACATATAAAAAAATT